TGGTGCTGACCCGCCCGGCCAGCCTTGACTCTCCCTCCCACACGCCCTGCGGGTCACCTGCACTCACTACTTCCATTTGTTTCTGACCTCTGGGAGGTCTCAACACCAGGGTTGTCCTGTGGGGGGAGGGTGACCCCAGAGCCAGCCCCCCCGCCTGCCAGCTTGCTCCTTCCTCTGGGGCTTCTCCAGGTGACAGCCAGCCAGGTGGGGCGGCTGCAAAGGGACCTGCTGGGTTTTGAGAACCGCAGTGCTATTTTTCTCTCTCTACCCACACCCAGACAGCTCAAAAAAAAAAAAAAAAAAAAAAAAAAAAATCAGATGAAGGTGGGAGAGAGGCTTCCAGAAACAGTTACAGAAGGGCCTCTGGTCTCATAGGCATCAGAGTCAGATGAGAAAAGAAAACTTCCCTTGGTGATGGGGTGGGCTTTGCAGGAAGCCGTAAGGGGAGAAGGCCCCCGGGAAGGTCCCGCACACCCCAGCCAGGCTGCCTCTTTGGTGCCCTAAGTGTTCAAGGTCAGAAAGGACAGAGAAGCCTCGCTGTGATGCTTAGGAGTTATAGAACTGGAAACCAGTTAATTAACCTGGGCCTCAGTTTCCCCATCTGTAAGGTGTGAACAACGGCTTCTATTCTGCAGGCGTGCCATGGGGATTAAACGAGATGATTACGTGGGAATTACGCAGCGAGCACTGGATACGAGTCAGTCCTTCCCCTCCCACCTGTTTACTGATTTCCATGTGGTTTTGACCCCTCCCACCCATCCTTTCCTCCATCAGACCACAGCCTCCCACCCCCTCCTCCAGGAAGGCCCCCAGCATGGCTCACATCTCTGCTCTTCCATTTGGCTAGATCTGCTGGGCGTTGCTCACCGGGAATTGTTCTTTAATCTCTCTGGACTTTGCTTTCCTCTTCTGTAAGATGGGCACAGTAGATAGGACCTACCTCAAGGAGTCATTGTGGGCTTTAAAAAATGCACTTAAGGTAACCAGAAGAGTGCCTGGCATGCCTTTGGTACTCCTCAGTGTGTGCCTGTGTGCCTGTGTGCGTGTGTGTACTTTTATTTTTTGCCTTTTCCCTCCGTCTGTTGAGTCCACCACTAGCTCTTCCTGTTCTTTAGAACCAAATTGTATTTACCCCTCTCCTGCCTAGAATAGGCCTCTCTGCAATGTATTTATTGAATTGGCTTTTTAAAAAAAGCATCTCAGGGAGACATCCTGTTCTGCTTTCTTAGAGCCAAAGCACTGCTTGCACATCCCCGCAGGCTCCGCTCTGCTCCCCGCCCAGGGGGTGGGCTGTCGCCTTTGCCCGTGTGTGTTAGTGTTTCAGCTGAGCCAGGATTTCACCCCAGAGCACACAACAGGCTGGAGAAGAGAAAGCTCAGGGCCGTCAACAACCGCCCAAATGTAACCGCAGCAGCAGTGCCTCTAGGTGCTGGCTGGTGGCACAGACTGATAGCTTGGGTTTCCTCGGCTCGCGAAGAGTGCTGAGAGCTGGTCCTGAATTGATTCTCGCATGCACGTCTTGTCTCCTTAATCAGCCTGCGAACACCTCGAGCGCCCGGGCCATGACACGGTTATGCTTTGGGTCACAACTTGCCAGGCTCAGAGCAGTCTTGGCTTCCATTCACTCATTTATTCATGCAACAAACATTTTTTGGAGCCTTACTATGTGTGAAGTACTGTTCTAGGTGCTGGGATCCCGCAGCGAACGGGATGGACCAGCTCGGTTTTCTTGTAGAGCTTATATGCTGATGGGAAAGGGTACACACACACACACACACAGGAGTGAGTAATCAAGCCAGCACTTTTCTGAGCTTACCTCCTACCCATTGAATTCACGTGCCACGAGCCAGATTGTGTGAGGCTGGTGGGTAGTGTGAAATTTGCGTTTATTCTAAGGATCATGGGAAGCCACTGGAGGGCTTTAAGCAGGTAAAGGACCTGTTCAGACAAGGTCACGCTGGCTGATGCACAGAGGGCCATGGGGCGGGGGTCAAGGGCAGCCTCAGGAGCCAGGCGGGGAGACCGGTGGACACGGGTGGAAGTGGACGGCCTGGGGGCCTGTTTCAGGGCAAGGTTCTCCGCAGCAGCACTGCTGCCGTTTGGGGCTAGATCATCCTCTGCTGTGAGGGCTGCCCTGTGTGTTGTAGAACGTTTAGTACCATCCCTGGCCTTTGGCTTTTACCTACTAGACGCCAGTATCCCCTCTCTCCAGCTGTGACAACCAAAAATGTCTCAACACATGGCCAAACGTCTGCCCAGGGGGCAAAATTGCCCCCAGTAGCGAACCACGGCTTTAGGGTAGACCCAGCAGGTCTTGCTGGTGGACTGGATGTAAGTGGGCAGAGCTGGACACAGGCTGGTACTGGACACAGGACAATCAGAGAAGCCCCTGCCACCGCAAGGCGCACTGCCCACCATCTCGGGGCAGGGACAGAGGGGCAGAGGGATGGGGAGCCTCTGAAGCCACAGTGACACAGGCTCGGGTCCCCCGGGGGGTTACGCTTTCACTCTGTCTCTTTCAACAGCCGTTTGCTGCTCATCGCTGGCGTGGGCCCCTCCCTCCCTCCTCCCGCGCAGAGCGGGACGGGGGGCTGCTGAGCCCAGGGTGCCTCAAGGCTCGTCAGTGCCCCTCAGTCTCCCTCCCTCGCGGCTCAGCCGCCCCTTCTCGCGAGGACCCAAGTCCTGTTTACAGAACATCCAGGCACACGCCCCCATCAGCCCTGCTCCTGGAGGCCGAGGTTGGCTCATTGATGACCTTCCCACCGGGGACCCCCCGATCAGCTGGCACGCGGCCCCGTTTCTCAAAAAGGGCTGAAGGAGAGAAGAAGCCGTGCTCTTGCTGCAGCCCTGGCCCGGCGTGGTCTTGGGGGCCTTGCGCCGGGGCTCCCACCGGGTCGTGAAAGCTGGCGTCCATTGCGGGAGACGCTCCACACAGACCCTCGGCCCGATGGGGCCGCACCGTCATAAGCAGCGCCTTTTGCACGCGAGGAAACTGAGGCCCCGGGAGACACAAACAACTCGGCCCCGATCGAGCAGCTACCACCGGGGGGAGGCCAGCAGGATGGCTACAGAGCTTTGCTCTCAACCGCCCCTGGGCTGCCTCTCCTGGGGTGGGAGACGCAGGGTGAAGCAGGGGAGAAGCTCACGGGCGTGGATGCACCAGAGGAGGTGGCCACGGGCGCCAGGCCCACGCGAGGATGGGATGGGGCACGAGGGGGACGGGGGAAGGAGCCATGAGGGGGAGGGGGAGGAGCCACGGGGAAGGGGAGGAGCCACGGGGGGACGGGAGGAGCCACAGGGGACGGGGAGGAGCCACGGGGGGGACGAGAGGCGCCATGAGGGGGAAGGGGAGGAGCCACGGGGGGGACGAGAGGAGCCAGGAGGGGGAAGGGGAGGAGCCACGGGGGAGGGGGAGGAGCCACGGGGGACAGGGAGGAGCAACGGGGTCCACATCAAGCTGAGCGACCCTCTGAGTTGGCTCAGCCGTGAGCTGCCAGCCCAGCCAGAGCCCCACCTGGGTCGTAGGTACCAGGCGTGTGTGTCTGGGGGGCCGGGGACAGGGTTCCCGGGCAGCCGGGAGCCGCGATCTCGAGCTTAATGATACATCAGTCCTGACCTCCTGGTGTTCAGGCCACCCCCTAGGCCTCCGTGGCGCCAGGAGGACCTGCCCACCTGATCTTGCTGGGCCTTGGGGTTGCCCCGCGGGGTGAATCGCGGTGGGCTGAGCCAGGCCCTCGCTGTGGCAGCTGCTCCGAGGACGCTGCCCTGCTCTGTGCCGGATGCACGCGCTCCATCCCGCATTGCAGCCAAAGGGAAAGAGAGCGCGCAGCGGGCCTGACGCACGGAAAATAAAACAGCACCTGGTGGGCGCGAGGGCAGAGGCTGAAGAGCCATTTTAAGCCGCCCTCCACATGGCCTCTTTGCCAGGCAGCGGAGCAGCAGCCATGAGCCGCGTGTGCCTGTGCGAGCAACCAGCCCCGAGTGAAGCCTGGGCCAGCCCAGAAGCCAGCGACCACTCGCCGCTCCCAGGGCCCTAGACGTGCTCCTTGCTGTTCCTCATCTAAACCGGCAGCGGGAAGATCCTGACCTTTCGGGAGATGCAGGGGGAATACAGCAGCTTGCGGACGGGACGTTAGCCCCGTGGACACTGGCACTTGGGTCATCTAGTGAGCAGACTGGGGCAGGACCTTGAGGAAGGGACCACAGGGCAGAGCCGGTCGGGAGAGGCCGGGATCGGATGACCCCGAGAGCGAGAGTGGGGAGCAGCCCCCCAGAAGGAGGTGAGCGCGCGAGCCAAGACCGCCGCGGCTTCCAGAAGTAGTGATTTGCTTGTTTCGTTTTGTTTTCTTGGTCTTTAATTCTTTTTGAGGCTAATCTCCTCGGGAGTGTTGAGTTTTAAGACACTGGGTGTTTTGGAAGGCTACCTGTTTCACATGTGAAAATTTCCCCCCGTTTTTCACCCGTGAGTAAGTACAGGGTGAAGGCTGCTGACGCTGAACGCGGGGAGTCCTGAAGCTGAGCGCACAGTGCAGCCGACAGGATGCGTGGGAAACGTCTGTTTCTGGAGAAAAATTCCCAAGATTTGAATTCCTTCTGGAGCCCTTCCTCCAGGGTGGGTCTCTGTCTTGGGACGACATCCTCACCAGCTGCTGTGTGTCCTGTGCAGTTTCGGGGTGCAGGGACCTGGCAGGCGGGGGCCACGCCAACCTTCCCGTCTGCGCTGTTCCCCAGCTGGCACGAGCCCTGGCCTCCGTAAATGAAAGACTAAATGACCTGCCACTATTTTTATCCCCGTAACTGTTTGGGTTTCAATTCAAAGCAGGAAGTATTTTAGGAAATAAAGACAGTGACCCTAAATGGAGAGGCACACACGACACAGGTGAAGAGACAGCAGCGTCCACAGGGTGCACCCAGACTGAAATGCTACACTCGCCAGGTGAACACGATGAAAACTCATTGTGATGCCACAGAGGGATGCAAATGAGACCGGGGACACGAAGGAATGGTCATTATCTTTATTCATACACACTTGCTTCCAAACTACAGTTAATGTATCTAACAAAGCGTGTCATGCAAACAAAGCTTAGAGGTTATGGAACTAGAGCAATGCAGGAATTGTACATCCGTTTCACCTGCGATAAACCCAGTGGGACCTGACAGCTGAACGGCCTCTACGTTCTGCCAGCAGGTGCTTGACAGAAGGGAACACTGCAACCTCCGTCTCTTCCTCTCCCTCCTCCATACACATTTGGGGTCTGATATAGGCTCCTTTTCAAGGATGCTTTAAACACGGCTTGTCCTTCAGCCCACCCTTCCCCCAAATTCATGCAGCAAGGCAGTGATTCCAAATGTTTCTGACCATCTACAAAAGACATTCGAAAAGACCCTAAGAGAAGAGACATGAGGCGAATTTTTACACTCAAAAGGAAAACAGCCTTCACGGATGATTCTGAATGGTCCACTAACCCCCTCAAGAAAAGAATCACAGTTTTCCAGGAAGAGTATCACCAAGAATCTACCAACAATCACAGGAATAAATACTCCTAAAGTGAAGCAGAGGGGCAAAGACAGAGCTGTTTGATCAGAAAATGCAAAGCCACCTTTTGTCTTCTTTTAGAAAAAAAGGTCCTTATAAAGTAGCCTTGACAAGTAGGGTCCCGTCTACTCACTAGAGATGATGCCAATGGACACATCTGCCGCTTCTTTCTTGGGGATGTCGGGGTAGTTCTGAGTCGCCCAGGGACCAAGTTCTCGCAGGGCATCACTGAACTTTCACCATATATGCGAGACCTGGGGGCCCGTGGGGGCAGGAGACAGAGCTGAGGAGGCGCCCCCCATCCCCATGCCAAAAGGTGGTCGCAGAGCCTCACAGGGCAAGGAAATGGGAAAGCTGTCCCAGAGCTGCATCTGGAAAGGGGACAATGAAGCCATCTTTCCCGCGGTCCCAAAGTTTCTAGACTTTAGACAGTTGTCCCCAGTGTCTCATTAAAAACACGGAGGGCGTCATTCTGCTAACGTGTTCCACCTGGACTTCCAGTCATTGTGATGAGGACTCCATACCCCACTGGATGGGAAAATCCCGCAGTGGGACTGCAGGACAGGGGCGCTCTAGCTGACCCCAGCTGAGTCCTCCTACAGGCTCCGTGTGATTGGAATCTTATGAAACTGTCAGTAGTTTTATTTTAAAGACTCATTTCTAAGGAAGAATTGAGTTAATAAAGTTCTCTATAAAAAAGTACAAATAGCCCAGTATATTCAGATGTTCTGTTGGAATTAACAGATTAATTTCTTCCATAAGGTTTCAAAAACGTCTTTGGAACGTGTGGGCCTTAGTGTGGGTCATTTTAAGGCTGTTTGATGACTGAGTTGGACCTACACCGTTATTAACGGACAGCCGATCACACACATCAGCGGCGCTGAGGTCCTGGTCATTCCGCCCTTCACCCTCCTGACGAGCCCCTGACATTATCGGATTAACAGAATTGTGGCCAACACCATTTCTACGCGGCTGCCTTCACCCGCGTGTAACGCAGGTAACCTTTCTAACAACAGAAATATACAGCATTCCCTAGAGGTGCTGCGTCAGCCCGCACGGGAAATGACAGAAACGTTGACAGTCAGTATATTTCACAAAATGTAACCCAAGTAACTCAAGGAAAAGGTTTTAAAAACATTTCCCAACGCTCCCTGTCAAATTAGGGTGTGGTCGCGAACAGCGAGGACGCCTTCCGCTTCCTGTGACCGGCAGGCCTTCCCTGTCCCCGCGACGCTGAGAGCCTTCGTCTCGGGGTCGCTGCCCCGCGTCAGGTTCACTCGATCGTCTCTTCAGTGCTGCCCCTGCTGGGCTTAGAGAAGCAGGAGATGGCACAAGAGACAGGCGACTTCACAAGACCAAGGTGAGAAGATGACTGTCAGGCGGTGTTTCCCTTCTGAGGCTTTTACATACACAAGACCCTCACTTTGTCCGCCCTTCAGCGCTGAGCAAACAAACGCCGGCGACACACTCAAATCCCTCCTGCTACGTGGACTCGGGGAGGTGGGGGGGGGCCTGCAGTGTTAGTTGCTTTTGCTCTGCCCCCGCTCCCCTCTCCCCGGACCCCCAGCTACAGGAAGTCACAGGGGAAAAGTGGGTGCGAACCCACCTGCTGGATGCTTCAGCCCCGCCCAGAGAACCGGGAGCCTCTTCGAGGGGGCAGGGAGGGCGCTGCTGGCGCGTGGGAGATGCTGGCGGACGAGGGCCAGCAGCCGCACCGGAAACCACCCGCGGCTCAGCCTCGGGGACCGCAGCGCCCCTCCCTCCCTGCCGGCTTCCTCCTGCTGCCAGCGTCCGCCAGCCCTTCCGCACCCAAACCCACTCCTCCCTAAACTCCCTGCCGACCACGGCTAAGGACCGTGGCTCAGAGGGGCTCGACAATCGTTCGCTGAATCGCGCTAATCAGGGTCCTCACGCTCTCCTAGCTGACCGTCTCAGACCAAGTTTCCGGAGATCTCTTAACCCTCTGGCTTTCCCCCAAAATCCTGATAGGAAGAAGCCTAACCATCTCCGAAGACACGACAAGGCAGAGGCTCTGCGTGAACGTGAACAAAACAGCAGTAGACGTGACGGAGAGCCGTCGCTCGGTTCCCGGGGTCTCCTACCGACCTCCTGAATCATTCCAGCCTCGAGCGAACCTCCCATTCACCTCTGCGGGCTGCGCACCCCATATTCTTCCTTCAACCCAAACCCCTCGTGGGTCTGCAGGCGATGCCCAGAGGAGGGCCGCCAGCGCACTGGCCGCAGCCTCGGAGCGGCCGCCTCCCAGGGGAAGGTCACGGGACCGATCTAAACGGCCTTTCGCATCACAGCGTCTGGCGGGGGACCCAGCTCGAGCTGGATTCCCCTGCGGGCCTGAACCTCCATGGGCCCCAGCGACACAGGGGCTGACCCTTCTCGGGCCCTTCAGGGCCTCCTTGTTATCCCAGCCCCTTGGAAGCGGCGGCCCCTTCCCTGTGGCTTTACTTCACGTGGCCTCCACGAAGGGGGATAAAGCCACCGACCTTTATCAATCCATTCTGCTGACGGTTACCAACGTGACGTGTGCTTTCAGCAGAACTGTCCTGGGTTGCTCAGAGTTTTTAAAAGCATCAGCTTCTATCTACATCCGGGACATGGCGACGCACCAACACGCCCCATCACGGTAGCACGTCGCTGGCACTGGAGCTTCTACTGTTTTCCCCCCAAGTTTGTCCTCAAGCCTGCAGTCCCTCACGCAGAGTACAGGGCCCCCCAGACACGGTATTTCCTTGAAAACTTTGCCACACACTCAGAAAGGATAAAAACCAGCTGGGATGTTTCCTAGAGAAAGATGAATAATTTGGAAACGTGTCGGCTGTGTGAAGGACAGCGTGACCTGCCCGGGGCTCAGCATGAGCAGGCAGCGAGAGGCTGGGAACACGTGGTTCAACCCCGCGGGCTCCTTGCTGGGACGTTCCTCCCCGCTGGGGCGTAGCTGGGGATCTGCCGTCCTGCTGCTGCTCCATTCCGGGGCAGGGTGACCGGCCCTTCTGCTTCTTAGGCTCTTTCTATACTTGGGTCCCTTTTCTATCAGACCAAACGAGGTGCACCTGGGGAAGATGCGGCCCCCGGACGTGCACGGACCCGTGGGGCCACAGCGCCGCAGCCGGGGCCCCTCTGGAGCCCTTGAGTCTACGGTCCATAAGAGGTGGCGGAAGAATTTGCTCTTTTCTGGTCTAACCTGTTCCCTACCCCGTCTCTTCCTCCAGTCAAGGCTTCCCAGGATGGCCGAGGCCTCTCACCCCTAAGACCCCTCAGCGGTCGTGTGGCAGCTGGAATTCAGGCAAACAGCCAGAGAGTCAAAGTGAGAAGCCGCTTCGCTGGGACACGCTTCTGGGGAACGGGGCACAGAGCAGCCCCTGTAAGGACTGACAACCACGTCCCTCGGAAACGTTCTTTCCGCTCTTTCTGACCGGCTCCCCTGAGGACCCCGCACTGCGATGCTGCGTCCCACGGAAGTGCTCCTCACAAGACAGGGAAGGCCGCTTCTAGCAACACCTGGGAGAGCATCTGCAGCCCCCCCAGGGCGTCTGCTGACGGCTCCGGGGCCTGGCTGTGCTCACCACGTCTGCACGTGCGGTAGCGGACGGCGGAGCGTGCCGAGGACGGTGAGATGGACGGCACGCTTCCGGGGCATCTGCACACCCACGTCAGGAAGGGCATCCTCCCGTCCCTCCTACCCCGAGTCTCCAGCAGCAACAAGGCTGAAGGGAAGAACTGACCGAGCAAAGTGCAGCCCGTGGGCCGTGACGACACCACACCTGCACGAACATCTCCTGCTACCACAGGAGGAAGCGTGACGAAGGCGACAGGGCTCAGAGGCTAAGAGGAGTCTCACCTCGACAGTAACCCCACACCCCCGACGAAACTTCCGTTTGCAGGTAGAATCGAATATTTTTATGTATATGTGTATGTAAGCCTAATTGATCATGCAAAGTAGCCATTCACCTTCGAAATCAGATCTACTGCAATAAAAAGTCAGTACGCCCGACACAGTGCCAATGCAGGGTACGCACGGAGTCGGCGTGGGGAAGAGGAAGCACAGCGGCACAAAAAGAAGCTAACACTTAATCAGAAAAGCAGACTAGAAACCGGAGCCGTCACAGTCGTAGCACGGTTGTGTCTTATAAAATTATTATAATACTCTGTGTACTTGATACGATTATATCAATAACATAGATTCACTTGTTATTAAGGTTTATTCTAAACATGCAAAATTCATTGCATGATGCCTTTGCAAAACATTTTGAAATCCTTCTAGCAATAAAACCTCTTTGAGCTGATACGCATCCAGGTTTCCTGTTCTACAGCTTCAGGTGTGTCACTCAACATGAACCGGAAATGGGGGACCAAAACCGTACTGTTCATCCCAAGAGGATGTCGAGGGCTGGAGACGGGAGGGGAATCAATTCTAGGGGCTGAAGTTACAGTCAACACTTGGGTTAACTTACTGTACATCGTACTCTCGTAAACACCGCAGCCTATTAAATAAATAAGTACAAAAGGGGTGGGAGGTGTGCGCTCCGGCTTCTTAGGAAGTAGGCAGCGAAGTGTCGGTGTGAGGGGGGTTGGCTAACACTTGTGAGTAGTGGCATGATCGCGGGTGGCACCCTGGATCCAGAAGAATCTCCCAGAGATTAAAATGAACATCACACGCACTGACCTACCCTTGATCTGAAATGACTTCACATGCTCGTTTAGCGGAGTCCTTAGAAGATTTGGCCTCTTAAAAAGAAATGCAAGTATCAAGACAGTTATCAGCCAGTAGGGTACGAGATGACAGGTGCCCCCAACACTCATCTGAGGTCTTCTTCCTCTGTTTCTAAACTGGTAACTGCTGGACCGTAACTGTGAGTGGGTTACGACTGTCAACCTCTGGGAACAGTGAGCTTGCAGATGGGACCAGATTCCTCCCGGCCTCTTGGGCCCTAGGGACCGTTTCCATCGAGGCAGAGAACACCAGCAGTGGGTCCTCTGAAGCCCCAATCCCACCTCCCCCGGGTCCCACCTTGCTCACTCTCTGGGCTCCCCGTTCTTTTACTCCAAAGATGTCTTGGGCGGAGATGTTTCCGGCTCCCTGGACTGGGGCGGGTTCCTTTGAACATGTCTGGTTGGGGGATCCGGATGGTGAAAATCAACAGAGGGTCTGGAAAACATGCCAAATTGTACCAAAAAAAAGGGGGGGGGTAGAGTCTGTTTGCCTTCCAGGAAGGGTTAACCTACCGCCAGATGCGACCTCTACACAATTAAACTGGATGCTGTGCATGACGCCATCTGCCGCTAAGATGATGCTCTCGGTTGCGAGAGACCCTGAACAGCTGATCACGTTTGGACTAATAACCCTACAGTTCTCAGGCCTCCCCTGGAAACAAGGCGGTGGCCTTCAAACTTTAGAGCTGAGGATCATTTCCCACGGCTGGGGGCAGGGGGCAGGGGCTGGGGAGGCGCCTGTTCTCGGTGCTGAGTTTCATACTGTGCTCTGTAGGATGGGGTGCACGAACTGGGGGTTGACATATGAGAACCCTTCAAAATCAGACTGGTCGATGTTAGCGATGACCAGCTGATCGGGTGGCGTTAAGACAGGCTGCCCTCGCGTGAAGAACTTGTCGAAGTTTTCTGCTCCTTTGCCGCACTGTGGAGAGAAAAGAAAAAGAAGGAGCGGTCAGTAGGTTATTAGAGCCCAGGCAGCAGCTCTCTGGGCCTCTGCGGGGAGGAGCGTGGCCAGGGCATCAGGGCTGGCTGGGCAGGACGCGTTCTGGAGGATTTGCAGGCCAACGGGATTCGAAAGCGAGGCAGAGCGAACAATCAGAGAGCGCCACTCAGCTGTAAACTGCCCAGCAGCCTCGGGACGGACGCCCCAGGCGGGAGGGCCGTGTTGCCGGGAAGGCGCCAGTGAGGCCACGGCCTCTTTTATTTCTCGTCCCGTCACGGAGCCACGAGCACGAGGCCGCACGCGCGGGGCCGGCAGGCACGCGTCCACGCTGAACGGCTGGGATGTGGGTGGAAATGAGGGCAGTGGCCCCTGAACTGAGAGGTTGGGATACTGTCCCACGTCTGGTTCTTTGCAAGCCTGTCTGTAATACAGTAAAAGCTGTGTTATTCTTGTCTTCCAACTGGGAGGTTCTAGAATCTCAGCCCCGAAATTAATCTTCAACCAGGAAGGGGTCAGCGTAGTGGCAAGGCTGGGCCGTTCCTCCCTGGGCTCGGCGGTCTAGGTACGTCTGGTCAACCGGCGGACAGGTCGCCGTGGCAGGCATCGCTGGTGGCTTCGGTCTGGATCAGGTTTGTGCTGGTGCCCCGAGAAGGCAGTCTCCGTCCTGGACACTCACTCCTCTCCACCTGGGTCCACCAGGGCACTTCGTGAAGACGGGCTGCGGGCAGAGCTGCCCTGGCGGAGGGGTGGGGGCCGGTCTGGAATCCCAGCCGCGTAAGCAGCGCTGCTTTGGGAGTCTGATCCCGCACAAGAGGAAGGGGTGTCCTGTCGCTTTCCCAGCCACCGGAAGGCTGTGGCATGCTGGGGTCCCAGGATCCCAGGTGATTCTGAGACAGAGTTCTGGGAGGTGTTCTGCAGACACAGTGACCCATCCCCTGCCCCATCCCCGGCCGGTACTACGGGGCAGCGTGAATTGACTGAGCTGGCCTAAGGCGCCCTGCACCTTTAACAGAGCACGGCTCTAGGTAGGCTGCGAAGCGGCGTCCACCCCTTCTCTTCATCTGTAAAGTGGGGAGAACAGCTGGGGCCCCCTCCTGGGCTGCCACGAAGGTTGAGCGTACAGTGTTTCACACAGAGCCCAGCACGTGCGGGAGCGCATGACACCTGCTGCTGCTGCTTCTGTGACGACAGCTGAGTCTCGGGCCGCACTTTCTCACCTCCTCCGTCACAGCTCCTCCCCATCGTCTAGAAGCTCTCCTCGAGAATCTAGCTTCGTTATACTTTCCCCGCCCTCCTATCAAATAACATGTCTTGGTGGAAAGCACGCCATAAATTCAAGGTTAAGGTCTTCCTAACTGAGGCCTTTCCTTTCTGGGGTGGTTTTTATTTATTTTATTTTATTTTTTTTATTTATTTATTTATTTTTGGCTGTGTTGGGTCTTCGCTGCTGTGTGCGGGCTCTCTCTAGTTGCAGCGAGCGGGGATTAATCTTTGTTGCGGCGCGCAGGCCTCTCATTGCAGTGGCTTCTCTCGTTGTGGAGCACGGGATCTAGGCGTGTGGGCTTCAGCAGTTGCGGCACACGGGCTCAGTAGTTGTGGCTCGCGGGCTCTAGAGCACAGGCTCAGTAGTTGTGGCACACCAGCTTAGCTGCTCCGCGGCATGTGGAATCTTCCCGGACCAGGGATCAAACCCGTGTCCCCTGCATTGGCAGGCGGATTCTCAACCACTTGCGCCACCGGGGAAGCCCTCTGGGGTGGTTTTTATTATCGTAAGCGACCCCTGCTTTTTAACTGGAGGCGAGTTCAGACCAGTGACTGCTGGGTGGTACGTGGGCGAACGAGTGAGGGGCTTGTCGGGGCCCCTCCAGTCACTCTGCGGGGGCCATGCTGCAGGTCCTGCCCATGCCTCGGGCCCTGCCACCTGCACGAGGGGCGGTGGGGCCTTCCCTTCACACTCCGCCTTCCCAAGGAGCACGAAGTGCCTCTGGGGCAAAGGTCAGCAGAAGCAGGGCCTGCGGCCTGCACCCCTCTACGTGCACAGGCCACCGTGAGCCAGTCGAAGGACTCTTCAAGGGAGAAAGGGCACGACGTTTCTCCCCAAGAATTAATCAAGGGTCTGCACTCGATACGTCAGTGAAACCAACCAAAAGCAACCAACGTCCACAGAGCACGGCGGCCAGACGCCGCTGTGAAGATGACAACAGAGAAGAAAGAGTCCTGCTTCGGAGACACCAGTGGTCCTCATCCAGGGAAGGTTTTTGACCCCGCCCTGCAGACATCTGGCAACGTCTGAACTCTTTTTTGGTTGTCATGACCGGGGTGGGTAACCGCAAAGAGGTGTTGGCCCCGAGGTCCACAGGGCTGTGGCTGAGGAACCTGGAATATTCCAACCGCGAAGCAAGGCTCGGTGGGTCCCAAGGTCAGTGTGAGGGCAAAGGTGGAGGCCAAACAAGGGAACCAGGCAAGCCAGCCAGATCTGAGAGCAGGGAACGGAGAAGCTGCAGACGCTCAGGGCAGGAGTCTTGTACGCAAGTGTTACAGCCTCGGGGACTCGGCTGTGAGCAGAACATCCTTCGGGACTCCGATTAATCAACACCCACTGCCTGGAAGGTTCCAAGCAAATCTATTCTGGGTGCTCCCAGCAGCTGGCACGTGTGCTTCCTTAGGAAGAGCTTACTTCCTTCACTGATTCCTGGTATTCACTGACTACGCAAAGATGAGCGAGAAGCAACTTCTGGGAAGAAAAATAAATGGAGAAGTCCCTAAGAGGAAGAGGACGGCGACATGGTGAATTCTCTCTCCTCCGCTAGCTGGAGACCCGTCCTTCCAGCTCCAGGCCCGTCCGTCTGTCCTGTGAACACATCACACAGCCTCTGTGCAACCACAAGGCTCAAAGGAAAGACTGACACCTTCCCCTGAGCACCTCCTGCAGAGTACTCGCAGATCAGCTTCCAACGAGAATTTCTCAAAGCCAGGGCTCCGCCGCCAAAGAAAAATAAAAAACAAAGTAAACGAAGAGATCCCAAGGTCTCAGAAGGGGGACCACGTGACCATCAACACGGAGGAGCCTGGGGATGGGATGATGCCCGAGGACGGGAAGTTCTGAAGCCGTGTCCAGAGGAGGCTCCTCCTAAAAGGCTGCGCAGCTTGTGAAGCCCGGGGTGGTGACGCGCGGACGGAAATCCTCGGCATGTAAGCTGCGTGCCGTGACCGTGCTGCTGGCGGGGGCCAAGGGGGATGGCGGAGACCGGGTCAACCCAACCCCGAGCGGGCAGGCGGCGGCAAAGAATGAAAGCTCTGTGGCTGTGAGAGGGTCTCGGCAAGCCGTGGGGGGCCGCGTCTGGAAGAGCTGAAGGCGGGGTCTGAGGATGAGCCGAGGTCCAAGGCTCAGGAGGGTATCTGACCCCGAGGGGGATCACACCGGACGGAAGACCCGTCCCCAAGGGGCGGGGGCAGCTCGGCTGCTTTTACGGGTTTGGCTCGATGACAGTCAGCACTTACTTTTCCACCACAGAGGGTCTCCCGGTGCTTTAAAAATGAGCGCTCCGCAACTCAGCGAAATCAGGGCAGAAATAGCCTCCTTTAGGTCAAATTGGAGAAGATCTTGAACTACTTGTCTTTCAAGACGTTTGTGCAAGAAATGCAACTGTCCTCATACCACACCCGCGCCACCACCACCCACTGCACGGGATAATTAAACTCAGGGCCCTTTGGATCCCTGGGGAAAAGACAAACAATGGCTTTAACCAGCTATTGTCTTTTACGGTAGAGAAGAGTCTCCCGGCCACCTGTGAGCCAGTCTCACCGGGGCCATCAGCTTGGCGGGAAATGGGTCTCGGGCGCCATCTTGGATCTGAGAGGCAGCCAGAAGAGGCCCGGGGACCGAATGGAGGGCGCGGGGGACACCAGGCAGGCTGGCGTGTCCACGGCCTCGGGGCCCTCCGCCACCTGAGGACACAGCAGGTGAAGGCAGCACTCGCTAGCTGTGAGCAGAACCCCACGGCTGCGTGTGCGCTGCCCCAGCTCCGGAGGCCACCCACACCTTTCGCCAACTGAAGCTGCCAGGATGCCCGCGGGACGTGAGGTCCCCACGACCGGTTGGGACAAAGATTCGGGGGGGAGGGCGGAGGAAGTGGCCCGAGCGCGGCTGGGCCAGCATGTGCGCCCGGACAGCTCCTCTGGCCATCCCCGAGACCGGACGGCCTCCGTGTTCGCGGTGACGCACTTGACACCAGGCGGAGACCCGGGGTACGGTGGGGATGAAGCACCCAATCAGAGGCCAGGAGCCGGGGTCGGCTTGGGCAGCGCACGTGCCTCTCTGTAAAGGTAGACGGGGATGCGAACACCCACCTCCCACGGCTGTTGTGAGGTCAGAGGGACGGCATGTGTGCGACCCTTTCTAGATGACCAGGCCTGATACAGACCTACGACGCCACACGCAGCACACGTGCCCGGCGTGGAGACGGCCACTGATTACAGGCCAAGGACGAGTGGAACACTATTAACAGTCTATCTCCTGCCGTAGCTCTGGATTCAGGACTTCACTCCTCTGTTTTCTGGACGCTCCCACCCATTTGGTAAAATCATCGACGAGTAAAATGAATCCAGGAGAAAGCGAGATGGCAGACGTGTGGCAAAGCCCCGGGTGGGATCTGGGATGCGCCGCTCCCCACCCGGAGCCCCGCGTGGCGCACGGTCGGTCGGCTCACAGCCTCTGCATCTTTGCGGGGGGCCGTGGGGAAGGGGCGGAGCCTGAGCCGGGCTGTGGGCCTCTCGGCTGTGACTCTTACCTGGCAGAGGCCACCCAGGATGCACCACACGTGTGCTGGTCTCAAGCCTGTGCCTTACACCTTGGTGTCTCGATGACATAGAAATTAACCTCATGGTCACCGGCGCGGGACTTAGGGTGAGTGTGAGTAGCTCGAACACGCTGCCGTTACAGAGCAAAATGCCAAACCGACCCCGGGAGAGCACGAGGG